GGCGGCCACCGTGCGGCTGTTGGGTGCACTGAGTCCACCCGCGCTCTGCGGCACCGGCGTCATGGGAAGAAATTGCGGTGGCCCCAATCTCTCACTGAGTGAACGCGGCAGCGAAGGACGCGGCAGAACCAACCCGTGCCGTGTCCTTGTCCCCAGATCGACCAGCTGCGGGCAGAGCTGCTGCAGGAACGCTCCAGCCGGCAGGACCTGGAGTGTGACAAGGTCTCGCTGGAGAGGCAGGTGAGGCTGAGCCGCGGAGGGGCCGGATCCAGCCCGCAGCCGTGGGGACAGCCGGAGGGCAGCTGGACCCCTTGTCCCGTGAGGGATGCAGGGCAAAGCGTCTCAGTGCAGCCCCCGCTCCTCTCTAGAGCATCCCTGGGAGAGGGACCGTGTTCCCAAGGAGCTTTTCCTGCTGTAAACCGTTCCCCCTCCTCCTCCCTGCTCTGGATACGGCCCGGCCCGTCCTCCCCGTGCCCCATCCCTGGCCAGAGCATCCTTGGAGCTGTCTAGCATCTCCCTGGGGTGGCATTCCCATAGGTTGCCGCCTTTCCTCACGGCTCCTCGCCAGCCTGCCCGGGCTTGCACTCCAAACCCTTCGTTACCTAACCCCGAGCTGGCTCTTAACGAGGTGGATCAATGGGAAATAAGCTCCCCGAGCTGTTCTTGTTCCCCGTCAGGAATTGCCGCTGCCAAGAAAAACATGGGGCTCCTACTGCTGATGGTGCGGGGCCCGGCCCGGCCCGGCGGCGGCTGCCATCGTTACCACTGCCCGGTTGACGAGGCCGGGGCGATGCCACTGTGCGGGATGGGGAGAGGAGCTGGTTTTTGTGGTGCTTTCGGGGATTTTTTTTTTTTTTTTTTGGCCAACGAGGGTGTTTAAGAGCAGAAATCGGGGAGCTGAGGGGAGACGAGCATCACGGAGCTGGCAGGGGCTCTTGCACCCGGTGGTCCCCGGTACATCACTGTCCCCTCTGGTCTCACCTCATGCCCCGGCTGGTGCCAGCGCGGCTAATTGCCGTTATATAACCCGGCTCGTTACGTCTCCTCCTTGGGAAAGGGTTTCTGGGCCCTGACTCACTGCCGGGATTTACATAAGCGAGGCTCTGAGCCTTTCCCACCCGGGCTGGGAGCCCTGCAGGGGGTGACGGGGATGGCTTTGGGGTTGGGTTTGGTTTGGTTTTGTTCTGTTTTGTTTTCCTCCCTGTAGAACAAGGAGCTGAAGAGCCGCCTGGCCAGCTCGGAGGGGCTGCAGAAACCCAGCAGCAACGTCTCGCAGCTGGAGGCGCGGGTGGAGGAGCTGCAGGACAAGCTGCAGGCGGAGGAGAGGTACCGGCCATGGAGACCCTCGCCTCGGGGGGGGGGGGGGGGGGGGGCAGCCTTCCCTCTCGCCTTGGGCC